CATATTATATATCACATATTAAAATTCTTCATTGTTTTGTGATGAATGCTAGGATGAAAACAATTTAACATCTGTCCTGAACCAGAAATTGTTCTACAGCTTGGCACTGTTGCCGCTTAATCTTTAAACCCATATGTTCGAGTAGTTCAAAAAGAAAAAGTTCATCAGGAAACACTTCGAGACAGTGAATTATGATACGATTTATGACAAGGTTGATTTCTAGATAAACATAAGACAATTTTTCAAAAATACAACTGTTCTTTAAAKAAGAATTGTTAAACTTAAAATTTAAAAGATACCGAATTATTGATTAAAAGTTTGATAGTTAAAGTATTTATAACGATTTATTCATTGAAACATCCATTATATGTTACACAGTAAAATTGAACTGAAGTTTCTCAGTTTTTCTGTTTAACTAATTTAGAAGACTATCATTGTACCAAAAATATTTCATTATAAATTATGATTTATTKAAGTTTATTTATTACAAGTACTTATTTCGCCTGACTTAAAAAAAAATACAATGTGTTTAAAATTTTTTAAAAATGTTAAACATTATTGAACTATGGCATCACAAAGTACAAATATTATTCTACAGAGTTTTTGTATAGTTTCTATTAAAATAGTTCTTATATTGTTTCAATAAAAACATTTTCGGATCCTATTGCATCATAATTGTGAACGACGTTTATTTTCACGTTCATTGAAACGTCTACCTAGACATAATATAATCATCAACAACGGGGAAAACTGTTGTCGGTTGCAAAATGTTGACCATAAAGTTTCAATCAAACACAAAGAATTATTATAAGAGATTGACAATAGACGACGACTAAAAATTAATTATCTTATAGTCATTTAATTTTTATAATACTTAGAATTTGTTTGGAAAGTATGGGATAATTTTGATAATATTGTTTACATAATAGAATAAAGTACCTATATAGTTACCTTATAGTTCATAAGTAGGTATTGAATGGCAGTGTAAAAATTTATTTTTTTTATGACCATATGAATTACACTGTTTTCAACTATTATTGTAACTTAAACTCCGAAATATTATGTTGTAATAGTGAATAAATTAGGTGAAAATTTATGGTCAACTTAGAAGGAAAAAATGGTGCCTTGTAATAATTATTTTCCTTATTATTGTTCAATCATAAAATAATGATATTTTTGTTTTTCAATTTCAAATACTACGAGTAAATTAAAGATAAAGAAGTAGGTCATATTATGAGATTCCTAACAGTAAATAATAAATGAATTACAATGACTAATTTAAGCATTTTAAGCAATAAAACTGATAAATTGAATAGCACATTTTTCACTGCATCAATATTGCAATATTATATTTTTGCTACTATGTTCAATAATATTATATTATTATAATATTAACAAAATAAAGGTAGTATTTAAACATATTTATCTTGTAACTATTTATTTTATTGTTTTATTATTATTATTATTATTATTATTTATAAGCTCAAATAATACCACTGAAACAAAATGATTATTTTATCTTCAGTAAGTAAGTGTTTTAAATTTAATCATTATTTTTTACATATTTACTATGTAATTTAAATTGACCCGCAATAATCTAGGTAATCTTAATTTCTTTAATGTTGAAATCGCTATGTATAAGTTGTACCTATACATGACAAAATAGTAGGTACTTGACAATATTACTTAACTTTTACAATAATAAAATACCACTTGATGAATCTCTTAAATTACTGTTGTGAACTTTAATTATGTATGTTTTGTTTTACTATATGTCTATAAACAACATAATCAATATTTGTGTTATGGGACTATTTTTATTAATGTTAAAGTTGACAAATTAAATATTTCTCTAAAATATTTCTGAGACAGTTTTAAAAGATATAATATTCTGCTTCCATACAAAATACCTATATTACACATTTGGCTTTTTGTATTGTAGTTAAGTTCCATCATATTTCCGTACTTATATATTTAATTACTTTTCATGTATAAAAAAAATTATTAGCCTAAAAGCAAAATTAAATTAAATTAAAATCAACACTAATCTACACAGTTAAATACCATTGTATTAAAAAACAATATGATTAGTTAAATTGTATTATAATATGTTTAAATTATCATAATATAATCCTTCTCGAGGCTTTATAACTTAATAATAATAAAACTGTATTAAAAATGATTAGTTTAACTCTGTTTTAATAAACAAATAATTACGTAGCTAAACATTTTATCGCTGAKATTGAAGATTAGTTAATTTGTAATTTATTTTAATATTTGTATACAGCTAAAACGAATTAAAATGTTTTCTAGAAAATTAAAATTACATCACTTGCCTACTTTCCACGCTAGATGCATACTATTATGAGATTAATAGATTAATAATGATTAATGAAATATACAAATAATTGTTATTTATATAAATCATACATATGACAAACAATGAATACATTATTAATGGCAGATGATATTACATAATATGATACTTTTATACTGTCTGATACATAATATTATATAATATGTTCAATAGTTTAATGGTTTCACAATATTAATTTTGAAAAAATATTATTACTAAAATTGTCTCAAAAATCAAAAATTAATTATGATATTTTTTTAACTAAAATATAATTAGTTATTAAATATTTAATTAATTATGTTCAAGAAACGTACTATTCATAATCATTTATATGTTGATCAGTTATTTTTTTGCTATCAAATCACAATTGATGGACATGCTCATATATTATACGGACCTGCAAAATGTAGTCTTACACCACACTCCTGCAGTGGTAAGATATTCATTCATACATTTTAACTATTTTATTTCGTTATTATAGTTGTAATGTTTGCAAGAGTTTTCCAACCCTTGTATACTTGAAACAAAGAAATTTAAAAGCTAGTATTTACCATATCATTTCACTTCTGGATTTAATAATAATTGTTTTAATTTAAAATGTGAAATTTAATATTTACTGTGTCTACATAAATAATTCTATTGTGATTTATTTTATTTATTCACTTAAACTTTTATAGTTTTCCATGAAACTTCGTTAAATATTTCAGAGCCTAGTGTTTATTTTAATTGTTATGTATTTTGAAATAAATTAACGTTTTTCATATAACTTAAACGGGCATAATTGGCTGAGTTTATGACTTTATTATAAGATTCGTTTCTATTACGTTGTACAAACACCAGTGAASTCATAAATCTCAAATGTGTGAGAGCAGTTAAACATTATTTATTTATACAAACTGCAAAATATTGTATAAGTATTCGACTTAAGAGGACGCTACCGGGTTGTCGTCTCCGCAATATGATGTGCGTGAAATAGCAAATTTACGTTCAGCAGTTCAATGTTTAGTTTCATTTGTTTAATTAAAAATAGCAAAAACAATTATTATCAAACCAAATGAAA